CTGCTCTACCTTATTATGCCTACTTGGTTTCATACACACCCTGTATCTATCTATCAGCATCACATGCATATACCTGTCAGCACCACAGTACCTGCTGGCTAAAAAAACCCACGCAGGTAAATACACAACATGTAAGCATTATAAATTCTATGCAGCCAGCCACACCATTTACAACACGGCACCAGAAACTACAAATTCACAGTACCTGCTGGCTAAAAAAACCCACACAGGTAAATACACGACATGTAAGCATTATAAATTCTATGCAGACAGCCACGCCATTTACAACACGGCACCAGAAACTACAAATACACAAAATGAACAAGTTGAAAACCAGAATATGTACCTTGTTGCTTCTAAAAAAGCCTTCAGCTTTCAGCGTTTTGCTGGAAACGTTCAGAAGACGCAAATCATTGTAGCAACGTTCTAATACTACTCGCATTGTTTCAGAGGGCAGGTTTGTAGCCTAAAATAAGGCATTGACAGTAGGTAACGTGCTCAATATATGCAACTTCAAATACTGGAGCAAGTAATTAATTCTTTAAGATTATTCACAGGAAACAGCAGAGGAAGTTTGTTTATTGATCTATAAACTGCAAAATGCAGTACCTGGTAAGCTGATATGCAATGTGGTCAGACAGCGGTTAAGCTTGTGCAAAAGCCAGGGCAGGGTTCTGGATGGAAGTGAGCAGGAGACTGCTACTTTTAACAGCAGGTAGCTCAAGTGTATCAGCTAACATCTACCGGACATGACACACAATATGAACTGCGATAGATGCAGGCCCTCATTTAAGTTATTTAAATTATGACAAAATTTCACAGTCTAATGAAAATTCACAGAAGGTCTTAAATGACTGTAGATTACCTTTGAAATTAGCTGTTTAAATTCTGAAACTGTTTGATTCAAATAAGCTCGTACACTTATTGGAGGAGCAACAGATTCAGTCTTTAGGTCAACTACATGAACCTTTACCATGACCTCTGTAGGGAAGAAAAAGAAAACAAAACCATGTAATTCAACAGGCAAAGAAGATACATATGCTTGTCTGATGTACTGATTAAGGGGTTGCATTAAATACACAAACAGTAATGAATCTGTAAAGCAGACCATTTCAGAATTTCATTTTCAGACCAATTTTAATGCCAGAGGCAAAAACGTTCTGCAGTTTGACAATTTTATTTTACCTTATAACTGCTTCAATTAGAAACAAGTTGGCCACACAGCAGAGTATGTGGTTCCAAGCACTTTCACTAAATTTAGTACAAAGTTTTCTTCTTTCACACATCATAATAAAGTTCTATGTTTTACAAGCTTTATTACCACGATGCCATTACACTACAATTTTAGTCTATCCTTATCTATATGTAACTCTGTGTCTTACCACCAGGTTTATAGCACTGGAAAATTTGGTCAGGTCTTCTTGTTTCCAACAGTAAGTCAAACATATACGTTGATTTGACACCTCCAAGTAATAAACCCATTGGTGTATCCTCTTCTCCTTCATAAGATCTTTCCAAGTAGTCATGAAACTCATCATATTTGACAAGACGACAGCAATCCAAAGGAATGGCCTCTTCTAAATCCATTAGCTAAATTATACAGACACAAATAATACCCCAAAACATTTAATAATGGTTTATTTATGAGTTTAGGTTTTCCCTAACAAGCTCAAAATATCTCTGTACATGTACACCCAGGAATCCTTTGAATTCAAGTTTCAATTTGGTTTCAGAAAAAACCATATATACATACATCAAGCATATTATATACACTCATGTGCAATATACATATACATTTTCAAAACAGAGAGAGAAGCCTACATCAAACCAGAGAGGAAAGTTTAAAAAGTATGTATATAAGCGCATGAAGACAGGTTCCAGAAGTATATTCAGAGGAATACACTGCCTCTCAGTCATACCAAATGACATCTGAGACCTGAGGAAGTAACACACGTTAGTTATTTTTCCTGCATCTCAAGGTGTTAACACATTCCAAATCTGAAATGATCTGTTGGCTACTAACAGAAAACTCCAAACACAAACCAGAACGCCCTAAAAAGTCTAAACAGACAAAAACCCCCAAACCAAACCTGCAAAATCAACTCACAAAAAAAACCCCCAAACATTCCCACAGCTTTAGAAAACTGAAAACTGAAGATACACAACAGTAGAAAAAATTACACTTAAAAACTATTCTGTTATGCACAGCATACCTTGTAAGCTATTTCCACAGCTTCCTTCAGTGTCCTGTCCTTATGAACCTCTAATTTGTTCTCCATCATTATTTGCTTTGTAGGATGCATGCAGAACAATTTAATCTATGAAATAAAAAAGAAGCAAAAATAATCATGAAGGTATTTGCAAATACCTTTCATATTAGAGTTCATCTAAATTTACAACCCTGTAACCAAGTCATCTAATACAAAAAAAATAATTCACTCTAGTTCAGCTATAGGGCAGTTTCCTTTCAGCTGGTTACACAACTGCAGACAGAAAAGATCAGAGGCACAGGAGATGTACATATATACATGCTAGTGCTATCTTTACCTTTGGACAAGCTAGGGTACAACATTTATCATCAGAACATCTCTAAACTGTAGGCAGCATGAAAATCCTCCAAAACAAAATGTACACAGGAACAGTGAATGTGAAATTCCCTTTCCAGTTACGTATTTTGCAACCGCAGAGAACCAAAGGGGCACAGTATGAAAAGATTTAACAGCACGAAACACCTAACATAACATTACGTACTCCCTGGAGCTTATTTTGCTGCAATCAAGTGCTATCAGGTTAACCACAGTTTTGTTTTGGTTTTAATACCAATTCAAATTCACATGGAGGACACGGACTCAGCAAAAATCTGATGAATACCTCTAACAGATGTCTTCGCTGTCTACAAGCTTTCAAGAGGTGTATGATTAATTATCAATATTAATACACTTATCACAAAAGAGTCCTTGTACTGTAGTAAAAAGTTACTGTTTATTGGAGAAACAGCTCATACTAGAAATGTCCTGTTACTTTATTAAGCAAAAATTCTAACCTTGCAAGTGTTGCGCTCAATTTCACGTTGCCTCTTTTCTTGTTCTTCCAATTCTCTCTCTTTCTGTACCAAGTGTTTAATATGCTCTGGATACTCATGTGCCTCAAGAAACTCTGCCAGTAAAAACAAAGCAATAGCTTTAAAAAACATTTTTTTTCTCCACAGTGGGCAATATCTTAGGAACTATGGGTATATTTAAATGATCTTTCTTGCCTTCTTCCCTCTCTTCTATGCCTGAATTTCCCACTCTATCATGTCCTGTTTTCTTTTTCATGACTTAAATGATACCAAAGTCAGGCTTTTATTCCCCTTAATTATACATCAGCAACACAAGAAAAATATTCCAGTATCAGTAAGGGAAGCTTATCTCTTGTAAAGAAACACATTAAGACTGCACTTAAGCCTATTTTGACAGAAAAGGTAAATTCTGTTCTAAAAAGTAAATGAGCTGATACTAAGTCCTGCGATATCATCTACATCATGATAAAATAAATGTTTTACTTAATACATATTAGCATGCTTCATGAGATTTCATAAAGAGAAACAAACAAGAACAAAGCAACTTTTGCAAATACAGTTGTCTTTCAATCCCCCTGCCACACCTATTGCCAGGATTTGAGTAAATAGTTTTTCAGATCAGAAAATGGGTTTGGCATGTTCAAGAAATCTGAAACAGCAGATTCAGTTTCATTATGTGCTTGTTGAAGAATTAATGACCATAGCATTTACAGGAGAATCTATTTCCAAAGACAGCTCTTGGCCTATAGACTTTATGGCTGCTGCTTATTCTTAAATTATATACAATTAAACAATCACTTCATGTTCAGAATCAATAATATTCTTTCAATGATTCCAGTACTGAAACAGCATTACTTTTTGTTGCTCTTACAACTGGCTACTTTATCAATTTGTTGATAAAAAGCTTTGTTTCAGCAGTATCCTTGTTGTGTTGAATCCACTTCAAAACTATATAAAGCAACTACTTTGCGTACTGTTACTTCAAAACCAAATAATATATTTTTATAATGGCACTGTTCCCTGTACCATGAATTCTCAGAAACAATGAGGTGGCAGCAAAATGGATTTTGCGAGACATTTTTCCCCCTCTTTCTACAGTATTATTAAAAAAAAATATCTACAACATAAGAAATTCTGGAAGTTTACAGTTATTAGCAACATGACCCTATAAAGTCTAAGACCCTATAAAATTAGCCAATACTTGAATGAAGCTTCCAAGTCTGCACTGCTGTTCTAAATCTTCATTTTCCACTGTATCATATTTCAAAGATTAATCAACTTGTCAGCTATTAAATGGCTGCAGGCATCCTGGTGAAGTAGATCAGAGATGAGGGAAATAAAAGACTGAAATCCAAAAACTGCTTCTGACTATAATTTGTAGTATATTGTCTCATCTAATTGAAACACAAACCATAAGGGCTGTTTAAGAAGTGTAAAACTTTGTCATTACAAAGTTCTTGCACACTCATTTTTAAGAAATTTTATTCCTGCATCTATCAATCATGACACTACATCACATAACATTATAGTTTATACAGTGTCACCGAGAGTATCTGATTTTTATTCCCATGATATCGAAAATACTAAAAAAATTAGAAAATTTATTTTGTAATGACCTCCTAATGATCCATAAGGGTTTGCTATAATGAGTAATGAAAAAAATATATAAGAAGGCTTCCTACAATACCACCACCCTCACAAAAATTAGTATTCATTGCATACAAAACATCTCCTCACTCCACAACAGAATCTTACTAGTTAAGAACTGCAGAACATACTTACTTGCATTTCTCATAGGATCCTTCAGTCTATAAATCAGCATGTATGCATTTGTGGAGCTGGTGGAGAAAGGAAAAGTTATCTGAATTTATCAAACAGGAGTACAATATTGACTTCAAAATTTGGATTTCTTTGGTGTCTCCCCCTCCCAGTAAGGAGCTGTATCTCATATATATATCTATCTATCTATCTATCTCTTAACATTAACCAAAAAGAAATTTCAAAGATAAGTATCACATTGTAATGATCTGCAACAGCAATCAGAATAGTTCTTACAACTATTTGAAACATCTACTATTAATTTTAAGCTAACATGTTAAGCAGACACATTTTGGCCATTCATTTGACTACACTACAACACTATCAGAAAAAATAGTGTATTACAGTACTACAAACCTTGCAAAAGCACTGGAATAATAGCCTCTGCTTCCAGAAGATCCACCATATGTTTTTTTAATATCTTCCTGAGTTATCTAATAAAAAAATCAATTTAATGATTATTTGAGAAACTTGCACTAATTATTTATTCTCACCAGGAAAAATGGCATTGCATAACACACAATATTAATTATTCTAATTAAAAATAATATTTCTGCTTATTTGCTCACAGAAAATAAAAGTATTTCAAAATGATGTCTCTCCATTTTACAATGAAAGCATTGAGATTCTTTTTAAAAATAAGAACTTCTTAGGAAAACAAATCCAGGTTCTTGATAGCAGCAGTGTTTATGGGTAGCATCAGGACAGGTTCAAGAGCACAATCTACAAATACACTTCTAAGCAAGAAGTATTCTTCACATAGAAGGCAAAATTCTAAATCCAGCCTCATCTGTACATGAATAAAGACTTCTTTATGAACCACCCCCTCTTCACCATCAAGAAGAAACACAACTCCGCCTTGATGCACAAAACCCCATACATATATAAAAACTCAGAAATCAGTTGAGTGAGACACATGTATGCTGCAGGTCACACAGATGAGAAGGTAAGACAAAAGTAAACACTTGAAATACTGGCACACAAAACCAGCTTCACTATATGTATGTGAAAAATCACATGCAAAATAGACACTTACCATTTCATCTAGATAACTAAAGATAACTAAAAATACTATTTTTACCTTGCTAACATGCTGATCATTAAAGCTGTACCACTGGTCATCACTAAACAAAATAGAAACTTATCTTTAGTTATCTGGATGAAATGGTAACTAAAAATACTATTTTTACCTTGCTAACATGCTGATCATTAAAGCTGTACCACTGGTCATCACTAAAAGATTTTATACAGGCATAGTAATGGCCACCAGCAGCACTTCCAGAATGAACCATGACAGAAAAGAGCTCATACAGTAAAGAACTCTGGGGAGAGAAGGAAAAAGTGCAATCTATATTAAATTAACTAAATGACAAAGTAGTTTTAAAACAATTACACAAACTCAAATATATAAATAGTTCTATGTTATAAAACAGATCTGTATAATAGAAAAGCATTACCACAATAGACATGGAACAAAATTAGAGTTCCGATACACTAAAAGTTACACAAGAATACGTAGTAATACAAGTAAAGAGAAATTTCCCCTTTCATTCACGGAAAGAGAAAGAGAGAAGACCAAATGATCTAAGAGAAGAATCATGGAAACATTTCTGAACTGGCTTGATGCAATACTATTACTTCTTCTCTGTAAAAGCTCCAAATTTATGAATTGTTAGCTAGACAGCTAAGAAACACATCTCCACACAAAAAACAAAAGTAATGACCAACTTGTCTGTAGCTGCAAAGTTTAGGCTTATTTGCTGTCATCCTTCTCCGCATCTTTGAAGATTGCTTTTGTCCCTCAGTGTGTACTGCAAACCAGCAACATGCCATTCAGTGCCTACCTGCAGCATGCATTAATTTCTCTCTCACCACTCCAAGTTTGCTGTCATAAACCCTTTTTTTTCACCCACAGATAAAAGGATGGAAATAAAAGGTACTATGGATATACCTTCAGTGTCGTGTATATATTAAGAAATAAAACTGAACAATACTGACTCACACAAGTGCTACAAGAATTAATCTGCCTCTCAAACTGTTTAAGGTAAACGTAGACAGGGACAGATCACTCTCCACTGGGATCACACCAGCGGACCAGTGCCCAGCCAGTCTTCCGAGAGCAACAGCTACTCTGGAAATCCCCCAGTCTTACTGCTGAACGTGACATCGCATAGCAGGGACTCTGGCATGGATTAGCCCCCTGTTGGCCCAGGTCAGACATCCCAGCTAAGGCCACCTTCCAGCCTCTTGCCCACCCCTAGCCCTACTCATCACAGGGACAGAAGGAGAAAAAGAGGAAGCCTTGGTGCTGCGCAACACTTCGGGGCGAGTTAACACACCACCGTGCTATCAAACGCTGTTTCAGTCACAAATTCAAGACAGAGCACCACACTGGCTGCTTTGAAGAAAATTAACTCCATCCCAATCAGGTCCAGTACAACATTTTTTTTGAAAACGTACCTTTTCACTGCCAACTTTAGAAATTCTCTCTGCAGCACTATTGCTTTCAAGGCAGATTCCTTCATCAACTCCATCATCATTAGAAAAGTCATTGCTCATCTGATCACTGTGACAACTGCCTTCATTTTCAGCTCCACTATCAGTGCAACTCTCAGTCTGAGGAGACTTCTTAAAAATAAGACATACATACTAATATTATAAAACACCTAAAGTCACAGAGAATAAGAAATAATGTTTGTGAAATAAAAACATTCCAATCTGAAACGATGAAACTTCTCAAAAGCCTGAAGACTTCTGCAATTCAGCATCAAGAACAGACTTGTTTCTGTTAGTCTTTAGTTCACCTCTTACATCAGTATTTCCTGGTCTCACGTGCAAGTGAGCAGTAATTACCTGGTTTTGTATCTGACAAGATTATATCTGCTACTAGCCTATTCCATCTACTACTTAATTCAATTAAATATCTGGAAGTCCAATATCAGGTAAGAAATTTTACTGTAACACGGCCCTGTTAATCAGAACTAATTTGGCTGGAGGTATTTTCATCCATGAAGATTTTTTTCCACTTCAACTCATTGGACAAAGTCAAGGTATTGCACTACGACTGATTAGTGTTCTCTTAGCTTAAAAGCATGTCATCAGCAACACTCTGAATAGAGTTCATTTAGTACAAGTCAGTATAGCCATCTCTTACCTGATTCTCTTTCCTCTGGATAACTCCTTTGATTTTCTGATAGCTATTACTTTTGTCTCAAGTTCTACTCTCCCAAATCAATCTTAATTTTCATTTAGCCCTCCCCAGTAGCACTTTAGGAGGTATCAAATTGCTTAAATGGCATACTTCATAAAACAAAGGTTTGTATAGGGTCAGAAAAGCCTCTCCATATGCCTATCAATGTAATATTTCTCTTACACCTCTACACACTAGGAAAGCAACAATGTTTTCAGGAGTGGAGTTTAAGAGGAATAAACTTAGTCTTTAACGCAGAAGGTACATAAAGCACTTTTTTTCTGAATGTAATTGCACAACACGAAGTTTAGCCAAAACCAGAAGAGTAAAAAGGCAGAAGATGGAAGTGAGGAAAATAAAATTCTCATTCCTACAGCACACACAACAGTGAGTCAGAGGGAAAGAATTGATCATTAATATTTTCTGCACCAACTTCAGTGTTCTGTATTTCAGAACTTTATACCACCTCTAGCGACCAAAAGAGACACCAGTTTAGGAAATATGCTTCATTCTGGATTTGCAGTATACGTACAAAGCTTGAGATCTGTGCTTGTAAATCACTCACATGAAGAATACAAGAAACCAGGAACACCTTCTTCACAGAAGCATGGAAACCCTACAGTGAACACGCTTCCTTTCCAATATAACAAAAATCCACACAACAGATTTAAACAATTCAAATTAAAACATTGCCATTGCTAAAGAACAACTTATGTAGCTGAATAATATTGTTAAAATGGGTTTATTAGACCGACACTTTAATCTTCTTAATGAGAAGCTTCCAGAAAGTTAAAGACTTTTTTCTTAAACCAGACACTTTACCTCATCTTCAACATCAATGAAGACACTCATGTCTAATTCCTCAGGAAAAGTCATACGATCATTGAGTTTAATTCTGTGCATAGTGGTGTAGTCGAAGTCAAATCTCTTCAGCTGTAATGTCAGCAGATACGGAAAATGCAAGAACCGCAGACCCTAAATAAAGTAAAGACAAGATTGTGCTACCATTGTCAGGATTGTTATTTACAAAACTAATTTTCTCAAATGATTTAGACAGTCTTTACCTTCCTTGCATCACATTTCTTCTTACATCGTTCACAAAAATACTGATTGGGGCCATCAAGAATCTCAGGCTGAATGAAAGCATGCAGTGCTTCTTCCTAATAATAAAAAGATATTACCTGATTTTTAAAGAATGTTTACCATATAGGTATAAATCAAAACAATAAATTCACAATGAGATTGCAAACACATACAAATTACTTCAATTAAACTTACAACTAAAATTTGATTGACATGAACTTTGATACAGAGTCAAGAAAATATGAAGAGATATTAACCTTCCTACCCAGCCCACGGTTAAACAGTCAAACCACAATTACTGCTAACTGTGTTTCATTCAGTATTTGACGAATCCAAATTGTCTTTGCTTTATAAACATAAAATATAAAATGACATTTACTCCTGTTATCTTGCACATCACATTTAGTCATGTCTGTTCAGTCAACTGCCGGGAAAGTGAGCTTGTTTTTTAACTCTGCCTTGCTCTCCCAGAATTTTAAGATGATTCTTCTGCATTTGAAGAGGAATTTTTCCCAATAGATACCATCCAGTAATTACTTGGGGTGAGAGCAGCAGACACATCAGGAAAAAAACGTTATCTCAGGTCCTCAGCACGCTGCCTCAAAACAGCCTGAATCCCATTCAACAAAAGGATTTAGGAAACTCCTGAAGATAATCACTTTTTAAGTGAAAGGTGGGGAAAGGACAGAGAGAGAGTACTTGAGCTTCACTCCCAAAGGAAGGAGAATCACATATGGCCATTTCCCATGAAGATAGAACTAGTGTCCTAGTGTAAACCTGAGAAGACAATTGACCAGTAACTGGAATTTTGTCCTATGACCGCTGCCTAAAGGTTCTGTCACTACTGCTTAAATCCAGGAGTTTAATGATTTCTACTTTCCTCTCCTGTACAGCAAATAATATTCAAAATACGACCAAATTGAATATAAGTCCTTCTCCTAACACAATTTGCAACCATTGCACAAGTTGTACATACTTGAGAACAAACATGTTCAAACAAAATTCACTGAGAATACTGGATGGCTTCAGCGAGGACTTTTACCTAGAGAATTTAAAAGTTAAAACCTTTAACCCAGTCAGCTTGTAAGCCAATACCCTCTGGACTTCTGAACTCCAAGTGGAACCTAGAAGCTGTCTGTTCACCTTTGGAGGTGAAACCAAATATAACTTGTATATTTAGATATACAATTTAAAGCAAAGAAGATCATCAATGTTTTTGAAGTTGTTGTCTCTTATGAAGGACTGTAGCTGTTCCCTGAAGCCTGAATAAGCAACAAAGGGCTTAAGTGGGCAGAGTAATTTCACCAATTGTAGTGTGGATGGCACAGAATCTAAGATAACTATCTAAATCTTATTGTTTGGTAAGTCAGACTTTGAGAAGAAATCAAGGATATGCCAAGTCCTTCAAAAAGCATCCAATTCCCCCTTTTTGCCTTCTTTCTGAGAAATCAAAAAAGCAGCAAGAACAATAATAAAACAAATGTTTTACAAAAGCCCTGTTGCTGTTCTAGGAGAAAGGACTTTTTTAGAAAGAACTGTTCCAGCTGACAACTACTCACAAATGAAAAATGTGCCAAACAGAACAACTGTACACTGAAGGCAGTTATCTCACTTCATCTTCAGATCCAGCCAGAAAAGTCTTTGAACAGTCCTGAAACCACATGCAGAGACTCTAGACATGCAAAAACATTTGGAGTCTGAATTGAACTGCTCTCTACATATTTAATTCCTGAATGCTATACTACAGAGGCCAAGTGGCTTTTTACTCAAGGGCAAGCAAATAGCTAATGTTTAGTAAGATTATGCACTGAAATGTGAAGAATCTCACTGTAAAATACAAGAAAGTAGACTAAGCAAGTTATAACCCTGCTTAAAAAGAAAGGGGAAGAAATGCATTGCTACAATTTGACTCTTCCGTAAACTAGTAAAGGAATTAATATCCAGAACTAAATAATGCATGGAAGCTAATAACCAATACAGAAAACATGAAATGTAAAAAAACCATCATGTAATTACCACAGAACTCTCTTATGAATCAAATGACAGTTAAGACAACATACTGTTTATTTTCAGTGTAAGAGAAAAGTTGCAATTCATGCATCAACATGAATATAAACAAATGAATATATTCAAATGATGGGACATAAATGGTTATGTAATGCTTACATAGACTCATGTGATGTGCAATTTAACAAGGACTGTAAATTTTTACCTAGGGAGAAAAGTGATGATCCTTCAGACTCCCCAAAACTGAATGAGGTATTATTACATTACTCTTGCAGTGTCAGTGCTTACCACACATAGCAAGCTGTGCCTTGAAAAACCTGATTTAAACTCGAGAATTCTATTTTTTTAGTTACATGAATAGTCATGTATTATATCCAATTATTTTCTAAGAAACATCGCTGTTCCTCACATTTACTCATTTGGGTCTCCTCCAGTTTTCTCCTATATAATCTTTACACCAAAGTTAATTCTGCTGATTAGGATGTTTCTTAGTACAATTCCTATTCTAATGCAGCTCACCATTTTGTACTCTGACCATTTACTCAGCAAAAACAGTGACAAAGCTTTATGTTGTGCAACCCATCACATGACATTCCCCATTTCTGTGCAACTCTACTTCTAGAGTAAACGTTACCTCTGAAGTTGTCTTTGAAGAGGTAACTATTATGTAGCCTTAGAGCTACTGCACATGATTTCCAACGTTTCCAACATACACACTTGAAAATACACCATAAACGATCAAGCAAAAGACTAGTATGACAAAGGCTGTTTCAACTTTTTTATGGTTCACAGAATCAAAAGTACAATAAAGGCTGAAAGAGACTTCTGGAGATCATCTGGTCCTAACTCCCTGCTCAAAGCAGGTCCAATTTAATGCACACTGCGGAGTACAAGCCAAGCTCTGGGTATATCCAGTCTGTACTACTCTCATCATGAGATCTATAACACTTAGCATACTAAAATGCCATAACAAACTGCTGAAATTAATTACTGTCTAGCTAAAGATCGGCACTTGGGACACACCATTCTCCACAAAAATGTATTATGATATTGTCAGTAGTTTGACAGGTATCTTACTGCAAGCAAGCATTTGTAATTCTGTAATTTGTAAAACCTGTGAACAGCAGCACTACAACCTTTATGAATACGCATCAAGGAACAATTAGGCAAAACTGTTCATGCTAAAAACTAGAATTAATTGCCATCTCAGATTTTCAGAGTTCATCTAGTTTTCTTATGTCCAAAGAATATGCTCAACTAAAAACAAATTACTTTGCAGTTACCAATGCAGCTTAAAAAGTAAATATCACATCATCTGTATTCTAATTGCCATCAACAGGTTTAGTTTGGCAGTGACACCACAAAGTTCACACGTATGTCCGAATTAATTTCTGCCCCCAAAAGGTCTACTTATATGCATACTTATACCCTCAAAAGAAAAGTAACACATGAAAAATGCTGGAAACTAGGAACACCTAACAAAACAAAACTATACTTGCTGTAACTCCAGAATACTTGTAATATTATTAGTCTTCTGGTATTACAAAGCAAATTCCACAGTTTTCCAGTAACATAATTTCAGCATGCCAGCTAGTTCTCCTTCACATCCACTCTTTTCTCAGCTGTTCATCTTGCAAAATTTTTTTTTCTGACTGCAAAACGTAAAAATCCATTTAGCTTACACCTAACGCTGTTAAATCCAGGCTTCTGCACAAAAACTAGTAGTACCTACAAAAATCAGTATGTGAATTGCTGCTCCTGTTTACCCCTCTAAATAAGCTGCATATTTCTGTCTGTATTTCTACTGACATCAAGAGAAGACCGATTCAGGGTGTTTTGGTGTGGTGTTTTGTTTTTTTTTTTAAACCTTGCCTTTGAACAATGCAGACAGTTTAAGCACTTTTTCAGAAAAGTATCTTGAGATACATACTGACAAGACTGCAGTGCACCAGAGTTGCCCTCATGAGTTTTTAGCTGTGTAGTCTTACTACATAAACTTGGGGGATGGAGTGGGGAATTTAAAAAAAATTTGAAATGCAAACCTTCAATATACTGAAGAATTTAAGAATTAGTTTGTATTAGGAAATAAAGAAAGCATAATATTATCCTTCCCAATTCTTCAATGTTCCCATGTATTTAGAAGTAATACATATATATTTATAGCTAAATACAACATTTCAGGTACCTACATTTTTTGGTAGTACACAATGTCGAACAGTGGGATAATACGCTTCATGTGGCATTCTACAGGTTAGCCTTACTTAAAGCTCATACATCCACTCTCTCTTATCAGAAAGTAATGGAAAATCACTTACCTCTAACTAGAGTTCTTTGAAGGTAGTATCCTCCTTAGATCCCCTATCTTGGGTTGTGTCGCCTGCTGCAAGTTCCCTCAGGAGCTGACTAGCAAGGTCTAAAAAGTTTTACATTCCCTTCTATAAGCCCTATTAGCGCATGTGTGAAGTTTTTGATCTCTCTCTCATACCCTTTTACCTACACCTACTAAATCACCATCTATGGATCAATGGAGGATACTACCTTCAGAGAATTCCATTTAGAAACAGGCGATTTTTCCCTTCTCCAAAAGCAAGTATCCTCCATATCTCCCCACTGTTGAAGACTACAAAACTAAAAATTACATCTGCTACAGATAATACAAATGCAGGGAGGAGAATCAATTGAATAGTCAGAATATGAATTAAAAAAATAAGCTCAAAAATTGAAGCATCAATACAAATTGCAACCATGTAACTGCATAACAAAAATCTTAAAATTATTTTCCTCAATCTAGTAAACCCAGTAAATGCTGATTTACAGGAGAAATTTACAGATTGTACTGAAAATAATCTGATCTTTAAGTTCCTAATTGTTCAAGCTTTTTGTGTTTTTATAAATATATAAAGTCCTTTTTTTACTGTAGACTTCTCTACTAAAAAAAGGCAATTTGAGACACATGTACAATGCATTGTTAAATGCAGAATACAACTACATGAACTGAATAGTCTTCATTACTTTAACAGATGAGAAAAATCTCATTAATGAATAAAAATTACAAGAAGAGATTTTTGTTTAGGGAGTATTTCCAGAAATCAGTTTCAAAAGGTGAAAAGGGAAGGCATTTATGTAAAATAGAAACTGTATTGATACAGTTTGATGCCAGCTGGATAGTTTAAAAAAAAATTTAAAAATTAATGCAATCTTAAAAAGAATTCAAAGGACTTTAACTTGAATTCTTTTTGTGAGATCAATATACCTCATCTTTACTACTTCTCAAGACTTCTCAAGATTAGTAAAGTTTCAAAAGTATGAAGTATTCTGAATCTATACTGCAGCTTAACCTAATTCTACCAATTATTTTCTTAACAGAATTACTGTTAGGAATTCTCAACTATTAGTGCTTAAAAATAAACACAAAATGAAAAATACCTGAAACATAATAAATAATTCTGCTAAGCCAATTACACAAATGTGTGTTTAAAACAACCCTTACTGAAAGACTTGTTTGATTTATTCTTATTCTCCTAACTTTATCCACAGTAAAGGTATTTTAAGCCGCAACAGTGGAATTTCACAGTTTGTAATCACTTTTTTTTCAGGGGGTGGGAAAAAAAAAAAAATCCCAAAACTTCCACAGATTTACTAAGAAATTTATATGCTTGCCAACACCAGTAATGCTGGAGCAAAAGTGATTAATAACACTGATGTACGACAGGATTTCTTATTATCATCACATCGCTTGTTAAAAGCATATGGTATTGGAGAAGTGAACTTTAAAAATCACGTCAACAACATGGCAATTAAACTAAGAATTTTAAGTCAACATTCTGTTCTTTCACTAAGATTTTCAACAATGCTATGAAAATTTAGCAGATGTGCCAATAAAGAGAATAACCCAAATAAAACTTAGTGATCTCAAAAACATCTTGAGTAAATGCTGAAGATTTTATCAGGAACAAAATAATTGATTATTGCAGCCCTAAGGCAATAAAGTTGCATTTCCCCTCCCCTTATACATGCACCAGTAGGACTCATTGAAGGGCAAAAAAAACCAAAACAAAACAGAAAATAAACCAAAAAGCCAAAAAAAAAAAAAAAGTATCTTCTAGAACTTGCTAGCTGGTTCACTGCACAAAGACGAACACCCCAAGATGGAGTATCTAGGATGATACTTACCATGTAACAAATTATACCACTGTCGCATTATGTATTCTATGTGTGTATGATGCACTATTAGTCAGCATAATAGTACACACCACGCTAGCAAACGCCTGGTTGGAGCCGTACGGCCGGATGACCAGAGGAATATCCAGGTACGTGTCGATTCTCCAGCCTTCATAGCCACATTCTAGACATCGTACATAGTCCTTCAGCTTGCCTTGATACAGTTGATTTATAAGATCCGCCTGAAACAAAGAGATATTCAGCAAGGCTTTAAACAAATGAAACATCATATTTCTTCTCTTCAGCGTTACAACAAAATGCCTTTTTGAATTAACTCTTAATGGCATAGCTACACATTGAGAACACCACCTCCCAAGAGAATACCCATCTCTTGATCTCGTTTTCCCCTGCCCCACCGTTGCACACAACACCTATCAAATGAGGTTCTCTAACAGCAGTATATAAGCATCAAAGAGTAATCTACAGTCATGTCTTAAGAGTGACTACAAAACCATGAAAACTGAAGTTTATGTTTTGAAAACAAGCCTGATCTTGCAGACATTGTTAAGAGATTGACACTGCAGTCCCTCTGTCTCCCAGAGTGAGTAGGTGCAGAAAAATAAAGGAAGTATTTGCCAACCTACACGTATGAAAACTGGTCCACAAGCTGGCTGTGTATCAGAACGCAGCATGTGTTATGAATATATTCCTGACTTTCCTCTACTGGAAGAGTGGGCTTGAGCTTCAAGCCTACAACATAGCCTAAAAAATACCATTACAGGAGTTACATAATTAATCTCTGTGCTTCGAATAAAGACTAACTATCTGGGAGTTTGGAATATTCCATTTTTAATTATGGGAGGAAAACAAAGCAAAACACTCTTGAAAGTTGTACATTATAGTACCTTAACTACTGCATCAAAAAAGAAAACTGGCAATTACTACAGACTTGTAAGAACTTGGTCTTTTCACAATCATCCTTTAAGAAACAAAATCCTGCAACATTAGCACACCACTGAATGATCAAAAGTTTCTATATGCTTACCTGTTCTGTTTGTTTCCATTTTTGCTCCAAAGCATCAAACATGACTCTACAAAGCTCCTGTACATCATGTTGTTGCCAAGCTGTTAGAAATTGAAATTAATCTTAGTTAAAAGAAGAGATATTACCAGCCTGAATATTAACTGTAGCCTGAGAATACATCCTGAAAAGCTACCGATTTATTTTAAGTTCACTAGATTACTCACTATCAGGCCAGTGGTCAATTCCACAACCAGCTGCCTCTCAAATCAGAAAAATAAGCAGCCAGCTTGCACACAATATTTATGCATAAGCAAAAATTGCATATATAAGCAAGAATATGTAACAAATACAAATATGCTAAGATGCACTGCTAAAAAATAAACTAGTTGTGACTTATTTCCCACTTTTGACTCTCTAAAAGTCAATTTTCAAGTCCTTATCATCATATGATTACTCCATGGAAAAGTCAGTAGGTTATGGGGCAAAATTACACAATACCTGTGTCAAGGAGACAAATACAGTGTTTGATTTTATGGAGTTATCCATATTATTTTCTACTTAAGCGGAATGTGCGTTTGACATTGGTGATTTAGAACAGATACGAGTTTCTAATGAAGAGCTACTTCTTTAGAAACAACAACTGTAATGATAGCTTAATTACAAGAATGTTTCTCACAGATTACTCACAGACTAATTTCTTTTAAAAAGAAATCAACCCCCCCACAACAAAGTATTTTGTTTCCACTGAAACAAGGTGGATTCTAATAATTTTTATTATTCTGGTATTTTTCCATCATTGGCAGCAGTTTAGGCTCCCAACACACAGTTGCTGAAGCAAATCACCCAAGCTTAATAGCTGCGTATTACCCTCGCTACTATCCCATCCAAAACTCCGTGTAACATCCGTTGTTTCAATTGCTCTTTTTTTGCTAGTCTGCAGTAAAACAAATAGTCTTTGAAGCTGGTAGGGGATACTCGTCACAGGATCCTCTTCAGATTCTTCAAATTCCCACCTATTCACAATACAAGGTATTTGACAATTAAAAAATGCTTTGAAACTATTACTCAAAAGGCATTTAAATCAGCATTTATTACATTTCAGGTGGTCTGCCAGATTACAAAGGTTAACTGAAGCTCTGTTTTCTTGGGAAAAGTCCAATGAAATTGCTTTCCGTTTTGGCAGTAAATGACAACACTATTCTTTAAAGGTACAAATCCAGCAGAAATGACTGAAGTAATTTTGAAGCCATTCACTGCACAAATGCATACATGAAATGAAGGTTTTGAGATGGGGCAAATTCTTTAAGCACATGCCACAACCAGTAACATATTTTAGCATTTTACTAAAAAATCTGAAGCTCTTCAGCAGCTACAACCTGTAGTTTATCCAGCTTGACTTCCAGGTTCACTCTTCAGTATCCAAACATGGAAATTTTGACAGGAGGAAATCAAAACCGTCTCCTAACAATATATACCAGCACAAACTTAAGAGCAGCTTCTGATCATATATATACTCACTTATATAACGCATTTCTAAATTCAGGAGTCATGAAAAGTGTTTGTAGAAGGCTGTTCAAGTAGCAAGTCATTGCTTGATTTACTAGCCCCACATAACCTAAAAACACAAGATGAATGAGATGGAAATAACATAAAAAGATAGGCAACCACTTTAAGAGGTAAAATATTGACAAGAAAACAACTCTGATGTTTATTTCAGAACTGCATGCATCTGTCAGGATTGTTATTTAACTATAAAAATCGAGAGGATATTACAGTTGCTCATTTCTGAGAGCAACAGAGTAATAGTTCACATAACAGAAATAATTTCCCTGAGCGACACAAAACAATTTTAGTGACCATGAATTATGTTTCACAGTAATAACCAATATTTAATATTCAATACTGTACCAATGGAGGCATAGGTAACTACATATTTTAATAGTAGATTTAAATATTTTACAGAAGCTAGAACTTTTTAAGAAACAATTGTGTACTAATTGCCTGATGTCAGGTAAAAATATCCTAGTTATAATATAAATATAACTTGTATCAGCATTGGTTTGCACTATCATCTCTGAATTACAAATATATTAAAAAAATAAAACTCTGAAGTGCCCACATATACCTTCAAACTTTGTCCTATAACAGGCAATCAGAACAGTCACTAAAAGAATGTGTCATTTTTATTAGCTGAAAATGAATTTATTCATAGTAATCCTACTGCATTTTAAGATTTTCTCCAAAATATATAGTATTAACAACAGTTGATGAATTAGCAGGATATACTGAAACCTAGTGTAAAGAAATTAAACATGTCCATTTATACTCTGCAGCTATTAGTAAGAACCAAAAAAATAAACTTAAGAAAATCCCAGTTCCCTACTAATAAAGGCAGCTACTCCACACAAAACACAGGCATCTTCTGTGAAGAAACTGAGTTAGAACACACATATTTTATTTCTCTACTCTATACAGATCATCTTGTCACAGTTATATTACATGAAAAGGTATGTGGCAGACAAACTCTTATCTCTCAACAGTATCTTGAACACACATGAACTGGCGTAACAGGGATGTCGCTTTTGTGTCTGCTCATCGAATTTAGTACCAGGGGTTTGCCTCCCCACAGAGCTGAACCCTCCAGCCCCAGAGCAGCAGACGCCCCCAGGCAGCCCCCAGGGGCAATCTCTGGGGAGGTGGAGCCACACTCCCCTTCCAGAGGGAGTCCCAGCTTGCTGGTGGAGAGCCCAAGCCCAGCAGTGGAGGCCAAACCTCTTGGAGATCACGGGGCAGGCAGAGAAACTGCACCCAGGGACTAGCTAGGAAGATTTCCGTTAACAGGCAGATCTGGCAACAGCTCCTCTAAATCAAAGTGTCAAGTACTCATTAAGCTGTGAGGGAATACACTGCTTGAGGTGAATACTTGTTGGTAATACAATCCTGACTGCTCAACTAGAGACACAGTAGCAGATTAATACTGACAAGGAAGGCCCTGATGAAGTTTGAATCACACTATCCCAAATGAGAAAAAGATGGGATACAGCTTTCCTGTTCCCAAAGTCATATTGTAGAGAATACAACAGGAAATGTAGTAGCAATGTGGAGTTTTTAAAAATAAGTTGCAATTTAATACAAAAAAATCTTTTAAGTGCTGCTCTCTGAAAATACACTAAAATAATTACAAAGCGTTGCCTTTACAAGAGAGATCACTATACCTGTCTCTGATTTGCTCAGGACTGAAGAATAAGAATAGCTTTGACTGACATAGTCATTGGTACAGCCAACAGAGCCTTCTCTTGGAAGAGGGCCTATAAATCTCTCTTGTGCACTGTCATCCGTTGTACCCGACTCCTCCTGAAAACATAAACACACTGATTTTATGCAAATATTAGACAACAAATTCTTACCAAAGCACCCACAAGTTTAACTTTTTTTTTTGGCCAAGAACTCAATTTTGCAAATTTAAACATGGGGTTCCCTCCCTGCTTTTCAGATAACTAAGCCCACAACAAAGGCTAAGCAGACCAGCATTATGCTGACATAAGAGCTAAATAATAAATCTGAATATATCAATAGCCTATCCAATCTGTGATTTAAATAAACTGCAGTTGTTGGTTGAGAAACAGGAAATTTTAAATATTTTATGGCAGAAAGTTGCTTCTAGCAACTCTCCTTTTTTATATATATATTTTATATATATAAAAAGATACATATATAAATATA